GACCGAAATGTCAGCCTTCCTGCTCCTATGATGCTGCTTGGCCTGCTGTGTTCATCCAGCTCTGCACCTTGTTGTCTTGGATTCTCCAGCATCTGCAGTTCCTACTATCTCTGTCCTGCTTCTTGCATCTTGTAAAATTGATTAGTGGCATGATGCCATAAGTTAGTTGGCCCCATACAGGCTCACCCTGTTTTACCTCCTCCCTATTTCCATGAGATTAGTAAATATTGCCCAAAGTTTGCAATACATAAGCATATAATGTAAAATCAACAGTTTTTCAGTGTTAAACACCCAAGTGATTATCCCTGAGCAACTACAAATTCTATCTCTTCCTTTTCTTGTTGTCCCTATATGTTATCCCCGTAGATTCAGCAGGACTTGAGGCCGGCTGCTCATTCCCGAATTCTGATTGCTCAAGTGTGGTCAACACCCTCGAGCTTTTGGAGCTGATCACAGGCCACCAAAGACTGCCCACCTACACCAGTGCAGAGGCAAATTCTGTCACTGTTAACGGGAAGCAGCATGTTTATCTCTGATTGAAGGGATGGGGGTGCTGGCAGCACCTCACACTTATCTGGATTTAACTCCGTCTGCCATTTCTCTGCCCATAACTACAACTGATCTACATCCTGTTGTATTCTTTGATAACCTTCTACACTATCTACAACTCCATCGATCTTTGAATCATCTGCAAACTTACTAACCCACCCATCTACATTTTCATCCAAGTCATTTATATATATCACAAACAGCAGAGGTCCCAATATGGATTCCTGCGGAACACCACTAGTCACGGACCTCCAGCCAGAAAAATACCCTTCCACCGCTACAGTCTGCCTTCTATAGGCAAACTAATTCTGAATCCACACAGCCAATTACCATGTATTCCATGCATCTTAATCTTCTAAATGAGCCTACTATGAGGGACCATATTGAAAGCCTTACTAAAATCCATGTAGTCAACATCCACACTGCTCTACCCTCATTGATCACCTTCATCATCTCCTCGCAAAATTCAATCACATTAGTAAAACATGACCTGCCGTGCACAAAGCCATGCTGACTGTCCCTAATTTGGCCATGCTTTTCCAAATGTGTGTAAATCCTATCCCTAAGAATTCTCTCCAGTTGCTTCCCAACCACCTTTGTGAGATTTACTGGTCTATAGTTTCCTGGATTATCCATATTTTCCTTCTTGAACAGAGGAACAACATTAGCTACTCGCCAGTCCTCCAGGACTTCTCTAGTGGCTTGTGAGGATACGAAGGTCTTGGTCAATTGCAATCTTTTTCGATCAAGGGTGTAATGTTTGCAAATCTTCAGTTCTTCAGCAACACCCCAAATACAGAGAAAATTGAAAGATAATTGATAGTGCCATTTCAATTTCTACTCTAACTGCCATCAATAACCTGAATACACCTCATCCGATCCCGGTGCTTTATCAAATTTAAGGACCAAGACTTTATCCATTACTTCCTCAGTGTCAATTTTAAACCCTTCTAGCGACTGAGTTTCTTCCTCTGTAACTCTGGAATGAGCAGTATCTTTATTTCATAGATAAAGACTGATGTAAAGCATTTATCTATCATCACAGCTATCCCTCATGTGTCAATCCCCCCTTTTGTCCCTAATTGGCCCCAGTCCTCTTTTCACTGTTCATGTATCTACAGGAGATTTTGCTTCTTTTTCATCCTCACCTCCCTACTGAACCTCCTGTATTCAGCTTGGTTGTCAACTGTACTTTCAGTCTAATACCTGTCATTAGCATACTTTTTATTCTTGCACTTAATTTTTATCTTCTTTGTCATTCAGGGAGCTCTTTGTTTCAGACTACCCAACTGAGTACAGGTTTGATATTGTCTCATTAATATCGATTCTCCCCTAATTGATTATTATTATTCTTGTTTGTCTGTAGTCCTTCTCTGCCTTTATCCTAGACCTACAAGATCACCATTTCTAAAAATATCCCTGTTGATGTTTGATCTACTTGGTCCATCTCATTTTCAAGAACCAGGTCTAGCAATACCTCTTTTCTTGTTGGACCAAGCACTGGAAGAAATTCTCCTGAGCACAATCTAAGAACCTTGTCCCTCCCCTCCCGTAATATGACTACAATTCCAGTCTACATTCAGGTAGTAAAAGCTCCCCATCATAACTAGTCTATAATGATTACTTCTCTCCGTAACTTCCTTCAATATTTGTTCTTCTACATGCTACCTGCTGGTTGGTGGTCTATAGATTACACATGAGCAAACTAATTGCACTCCTTTTGCTCCTTAGCTTGAGCCAAATCAAATTTGTCCTTCAAACCCCCGGAACATGGTCTTTCTCCATTACTATAAAGTTCTTATTACAAAAATGCTACTGAACTAACTCCACAGTGACTAGTATCCTGTAAGCAATTCACCCTTTATTTACATATGCAAAGCTCTGGATACTAGTGCAACTTCCTCAAAGCCAGCTCTGAGTGAGCAAAATCTCTGACATTCCTGTTTATATCTGTCAACCTGGGCTTCCTGATTGGACCAGGTTAACAGCCCCAATCAGAGAACTCATACGAGGTCTACCTGGCTGACCACGTTACAATCACTACAGCTACCTTTTCTTTTTTGCCTTTCCTATCTTTTCTGAACACCTTGTAATCAGGAATATTTAAAACATAATCCTGCCCTTCTTTGAACGAGGTCTTCATTATCACAAAACCATCAAACTACAAATGGTAGTCTGTGCCTGCAACTCCCAAATCTTATTAACCATTCTCTATACAATCACATACATGCAGTGTTATCCTAATTTAAACTTTATTCCTTTCTCACATACTCTTGCTCCACAAATAATGTGCTACTCTATATTGTACTGCTGTCTGCCTCTCCTGCCATTTTCTGCACCCAGGTACTATTCTCTGATGTTCTCTCTGGTGCATACACCCATGATGAATTAGTTTAAATTCTCCCCAACAGCACCATCAAATACTTCACAAAGAGCCTGGTCACAGCTTTTTTCAGCTGCAACTCATTTGGCGTGTACAAGTGTCATTTCCCTGGCAGCCAGTCCCAGAGTTCCAGGAACCCAATGTCCTCCCTCCTGCACCATGTATCCAGCTAGTTATTAATTTGTCTTATCTTCATACTTCTGTACACACCTGCACGTGGCACTGGGGATAATCTGAAGATTACTATATTTGAGGTCCTCCTTGCTAATCTTCTACCTAGTTCCATCAATTCTGTTTGCAGGACCATTCCCTCTTTCTTACCTGTCATTAGTAGCAATGTGGACCATGACCTCAAGCTGATCCCCTTCTCCCAGAAGAATGTCCTGTAGCTCCTCTATGATAATTAGATCCTAGCAGCAGGAAGGCAACATGCCATCATGTTGAACACCACAGAAATGCCTGATTATTTGCCTAAATAAAGAATCCCCTATCATTACTGCCCTTCCACTCTTCTTCCTTCTCCCCTGTGCAGCTGGATCATCGAGCAGATGCAATAGGAAGGTTTTCTCTTCTGTGCACCAATAACACACTCAGCTTGGTCTCAGTGTTTCTTACCTTTTTTCACATTATGTCTCTTATGTCCTTTCTGAATTAAACTATACAGTTCATAACTTTATAATAATTGTGTCACTGATGCCAATTTATGATGTATGCTCAACTCAACTATGATCTCCATCACAATTATACAAAATCCTTTCCTCTTCAGACTTTACAGACAATTTTCTGGTTTCAAATTTTCTCTTGTCTCTGAGAAAAATCCTGTGCTTTAGAGATTCCATTTGTAAACCAGGTGCTGATGACATTGGGCTCAGCTTTGTAACACAAACCTTCCCTGCTTAATCTTCTGCAACCAATTCTGGTAATGTGATGACACATTTATAAATGTTCATTTCATGGCCTAGAGTGCTGTTGCTTCCCTGAGCATGGAAATGTTTTTGGAGTGTAATGGAACTAACGGAGGGAGACTGGTGCATTTTCAGTGATCTGCAACCCTGTCAGATAAAAATATCTTCAAAGAAGAACTAATATTTTCCACAAATCTTGGCTAAATTTGTATCCAGTAACCAGACAGGAAAAATACAAAATTGTTACTAAATTCATCATTCAATCCCTCTCATCCAAGTAACAAAGTATGCTGAAATATTACCTCATGCAGATGCTGGCTCATGAATTGAAGCACATTGTTGGCTAAGTCACGATGAATGGTCATAACTGCTTGAAGAATCTGTGCATGTAGCTGTAGTACAATGCTGTTAAATTTAGGGAGCTCGGTAAGTAATAAAGAATGCAGTGCTTTGTATGTCTCTACAGCAGCCTTCTCTTCGTAAGATGCATTGCCTTCTTCCTTTATTTTCTCTTGAATTTTTTCATAATCTAAGAATTTATCATTATGTTTTTTGACGAGCTGCTGTGGGCTGCTGAACAAATTTGAGAGGGCACATAGCGGTTCATAAATGATTGAGTTCAGTCTTCGTTTCTGTTTGAAACAAAAGCATTTAATATAAAGCACACGTAAAATTAAATCTCTAACGGTTACTAAATGTATGTCAATACAGTGCCTTTACTTACAAATTCAGGAATTATCATCTGATGGAGTATCTGTATAAATTCTTGATAGCAGATGGTAGTATGTTCTTCCACCAAATTGGGTACATAATGGTAAGACCTTAAGTTTTGAAAATGCTGAGCCAAAATTAGAGACCATACAATTAAAAGGCAGAACAGTGCCAGATGTAACTGCATTTCAATGTATAATGGATGCATGATTCTTAAACATTAGTATACTTAGCAAATATATCATATCAGCTTTATAAAGCATGCTAAATATATCTAAGGCCAGCCATTTTTTGTGCAGTAACTGTTTGTTCATCTTGAAACCTTAAATTTAACTTTGGTTTTCCAGAAATTGGATATAGGACTCAAATAGATTTTTTTCCTTTAACATCCTACTTCTAACTCAGGATGAAGACATGTTTGACAGAGCGATACCAAAAATGAAAGGTTAAAATCAGTGCCATCAGTAAAAACAAAAATCAATCCTTCAATGAACTCATAGCCTCTGTTAAAAGCAATACCTCTGAGTTTGTACATTACCTGATGGTGTACATTTTGCCATATGTTAATTTTAATGTTCCTGCATTGTCACAGTTCTCAGCCTTACTCTAGATGATTTTAAGTGATGAATTAATGTTTTTTTACATGTAAATATTTCATTCAATTGCTCAGTCTTTAGATACCATTTTATACATGATATAATGTCAGAGTAAGTTCCTAACCTGGCTAAGTCTGGATTATCGAGGAGCTTGAAAAGAATCAGGAGGCCTTTAAAAATATTGTGTGAAACACAATTCTGGGATTCTGTTTCTCGCAATTTGTGCCAGCACAGGGGTAAAGGTGCACATAGCAAGCCAGCGTACAATTATCCCATTCTTGCTAGCTTCGTTGTGGTAGTGGTGATTTCAACACTTCCCCTCACCATGTCGCTATACAATTTTGATGGAGTTTGTTCAGAGATACTGTTTTTCAAACCTTGGAGAAGTCATGAACCAGGGTGTCCGTAGTCTTAAGTCAATATTAAAGTAAAAAAGCCACTCCTTTTGAGAAACATTGCCATTCTTACTTTTTACAAAGCTGTAAATTACACACAGCTATTATGCTTCAATCCACTTCACACCTTTTAATGTTGTTTAAATAAACACACAGACATTAGATAAACCCATGTTTGAAGATCAAATTAGTATATAGTAATTAAAATTTCAATCAAACAAAACTGGTACTCTCCTGCAAGCTGTGCCAGCATTGCCTCAAAGGCTAAATTCATTAGCCATCCTTGAAACTTGACCCAAAATTCATCACAAGGCCTTCAGAAGCAGTTTGAACTGATAGTCAAACATCTGTTTTGCCAGATGCCCTCATTATGAATGCTTGAATGAGCATGAGGATTGCTAGATTAATTTAGCTGACATCTATATTACATTGTTATAACTTGTTCTTTTCTTGAAGAGGTTTTACAATGTCTGTATGTTTATTTACATAAGATTAAGAGGAGTGAAGTGGATTAAAATTTTCTCGTCAATGACACTACAAATAGCTACATGTGCTTGACATTTTTATGAGGTTGAAAAATGACCAGTTCTTTTGAAAAGAACTCCTCAATGCCCCACTTATGCTGTCAGTTTCATGAGACTTACAAAGACTTGCCAATGGCTCCACTGTTTCTGAACATAATAGATAATACAAAACATTGTATTGGAAGAATGGAAGCCGCATCGGGGATGTGAACAGCCATGGAGGGAGGCAGTGGAGATTTGAGTGGGTATGAAATATATGAGAGGCATGAGGATGAGAGATGGAGGACTATACAGTGATCATTACAACTGGGCTAATATCTCAGTAAACATAGGTGAGCCTTCTAATCAACTGGTCTTCTCATCTGCCCACCACTGTTGCCTGTTTGATTCTGTCTGCAGAAGTGGTGGGCCTATCTGTTGCCCATATCCACCTCACTGACAATGTAAATAGGGCAGGTGGGTTCCCTCAGAATGGAGGCGGGATCATAGTGTTTGTAATTCCCCCATTCCCAATAACTGTCTCCTTTGACAAAAATTGATATTGGCAGTATCTTTTCCAAGATTTCCTTCTGAGCTATATAAACCAGCAGTTGTGGTATATGTGGCATAGAGAGATAATTTAAACAATGTAGGTACATACTTTTGTGCAGCATTGCAACAATATTCTTATAAGTATCACTCCTAAATAGTTTACTCTGTAAATTACCCTGTGCCCCTTCGCCAACCCAAACCCCCAAAAATAGACAAAAGCACATGAAACAAAGTGAAAAACAGAATTAGTTTTCCAAGGCTGAAACAAATTTCAGAATGTTGGCATCAAATGGTGAATATTCATTTTGTAAAGGCTACCACAGAAATAGAACATTTTAGTTGAGGCTGTCTATCATATGTCAAGAGTGACTTCTAAATTTGTGATAATGATAATGGAGTTAGAAGATACACAATTACCTCAGATATATGTAGGATTTGGTAATTACATTTCCTATTTTGAATAAGTTCTTTTCAATAGAATGATTTATATCTTCTAGATAAATGTTCCATTTTATATTATTCACAAAAATATTTGGTTAAACAAACAGATAATCTAACAGGCAAAAGATCATAAGACCCAGAAGTTATTGGTGGAAAACTAATGTATGTGTAATTCATATATTTAAGCAATACAACTATTTACTGTAAACATGCAAAGGCTCCAAATATCTATCCAGTGGCTGTGCTTCATTGGTCTAACAAGGATATAATAATGAAATAAAACCATAATAAAGATGTAAGCATCCCAGCAGTATTTATAAATAAATACCTAAAGAATATTGTAAATTGTTGATATTTTTCACCTCTCATTTTACTTAACTTCAATTTGTCTGTTCTGGTGTCTGTACAAGTCTACTTTTTTTTCTACATAACCAGTATTGTGGTCATTTTCTGTATTTCAACATGTTCTTTGTTGCAAACTGATTTTACCCACAGTACAATGGTAGGCTTGGGGTTGGGGTGAGGCAAAGTCTGTGCCAAGGTGGTCAATTTTGTTAAGAATTAACCCCCACCCCCTCACCCCAGTAGGCATTTCCACTCAATAAGCAGCTTTAACTTTTCATTAAAATGCTCACTTCTTAGACATCCCATTTTGAAAACGGCAGTTAGGGAAATCAAGGGAAATCAAGTCAAGTTTGCTAATGGCTTATGTCAACAGGAATTTTGAAATACCTAGCACTTTTTTTTCAGTTCCACGCGTTTTTTTTCGGACAGCTCCTTGACAGTGTTGGCAGTCCCAATCATCAGCAAAGTGATGGAAGAGATTGGTAACTGTGCTATCAACCAGCATTTGCTTAACAATAATCTGCTCGTCGATGCTCAGTTTGGATACTGCCAGGATCAGTCAGCTCCTGGCCTCATCCCAGCTTTGGTCCAAACACGGACAAAACAGCTGAACTCTAGACATGGGGCAAGACTGATTGCCCCGACATCAAGGCAGCATTTGACTGAGCGTGGCATCAAGGAGCCCCAATAAAACTGGAGTCAAGGGAGTCGGGGGAAATACTCAATGGTTGGATGCATATGTAGCACAATTGAAGACAATTGTGATTGTCGGAAGTCAACCATCCCAGTTCTGGGCATCACTGCAGGAGTTTCCGAGGTAAATATCCGAGACACACCTCTTCAACTGTTTCATTAATCATATTCCATCGTAAAGTTAAGAGTAGGTATTTTTACTGATGATTACACAATGTTCAGTACCATTTGTGATTGTTCAGATACTGAAGAGGCTCATATGCACTAAAACCCAGACAACATTCAGGTTTGGGCTGATAAGTGGCAAGTAATATTTGTGTTGCACAAGTGCCAGGTAATGAGAATTTCCAACAAAAACGTCTCTAACCATCTCCCCTTGATATTCAGTGGTATTGTCATTTCTGAATTCCCCACTGGGAAACATCCTGGGGTTGCCTATGACATGAAACTGAACTGGACCTGTCATATAAATACAGTAGTTACAGGGTTGGTCAGAAACAAAGATTTCTGTATGGAGAGTCTGATGAAAGTGATAAAGACAACATATAGTGATCTTCTTTGTTTATGTCATTTTCCTTACAGCTGTTAGGTAGAGAATATCATGTCATTTATAGATTTCCAGTTCTAAAATAATAATAGGATTCAGGGTGGATGGGTCTAGCTAAAATCTGTATTCGAACAACTCCCCATAACGCTAAACAGAAAGATATCTTGATAGTTGATCCAGTTCCTGAAGTCACCCTTGTGGCTATACATGGTGACCTTCTTTGCATTACGCATTTCCTGGAACAATGTTCCCTCTTTCTAGCAGAGACAAAGATGCTGCGCAGATGCTGCATGAGATCCAGTTTCTCTTGCTTGAGGTATTCAAGTGATAACTTAGCCTTCCTTTATTTTCAACAGAAATATTTTATTTGCTGATGAACCTGTTGGCTTTTTGATCTTTTCATACATATTCCTGACTTATCTGTATTAAAAGAATTGTAACCAGTAGTTTTTAGCAGAATACCTAGCAGTATGGCGGACTTTCTCCTAAACAGCTCTTCATGCATTCAGAGTTTTCTTGTTAAAGATATCTCTTATCATGAATGATCAGTCAGTCTTGTGCACATAGTCTTGATGTTTCAACTTGTCAATTGAGGAGTTGGCATCTTCTTTCATTTGTTTTCCTGGTCAAGGGAATGCATCCAGTTGTTAATCTGAGGTCCCAAGCACCCAATGGAGCAGATGGACTATGATGAACAGAGAACATAGAACAGCACAGCACAGGCCCTTCGGCCCACGATGTTGTGCCGACCTATTATCCAACTCTAAGATCAAAAACTACCCTGCATACCCTACATTTTTCTATCATCCATGTGCCTATCTAAGAGTCGCTTAGATGTCCCCAACGTATCTGACTCCACTACCACAGCTGGCAGCGCATTCCACACACCCACCACTCTCTGTATAAAGAACCTACCTCTGACATCTCCCCTATACCTTCCTCCAATCACCTTAAAATTATGCCCCCTCGTAATAGTCATTTCTGCCATGGGAAAAAGTCTCTGGCTATCCATTCTATCTATGCCTCTCATCATCTTGTACACCTCCATCAAGTCACCTCTCATCCTTCTTCACTCCAATGAAAAAAGTCCTAGCTTCCTCAATCTTTCCTCATAAGACCTGCCCTCCAGTCCAGGCAGCATCCTGGTAAATCTCCTCTGCACCCTCTCTAAAGCTTCCACATCCTTCCTATAATGAGGGGACCAGAACTGAACACAATATTCCAAGTGTGGCCTAACCAGGGTTTTATAGAACTGCAGCATAACCTCACAGCTCTTAAACTCAATTCCCCTGCCAATGAAAACCAAGACTCCATACACCTTCTTAACACCCTATCAACTTGGATAGCAACTTTGAGGGATCTATGGACGTGGACCCCAAGATCCCTCTGTTCCTCCACACTGCCAAGAATCCTGCCATTAACAAATTTGACCTTCCAAAATGAATCACTTCACACTTTTCTGGGTTGAATTCCATCCGCCACTTCTTTGCCCAGCTCTGCATCCTGTCAATTGTCAGGAGCTGCCTACTTGAAGTGAACAGTAGATGACAGTGTGATCTAACTGTCCCTTCCATATCTCGAGACAGCCAATAGCACATGTTCTCAACACCAATCAAGTTGGGCTTATTACCATAACTGCTAACAACTGTGTTGTGTTAATGCTCTGCAGTAAAGTTGGAGGTTCAGGTTGCCAGCTTGGAAAAAATTTATGGAGCCCCTGGGTTTCCAAATATCAGGGGGATCACCTCTTGACTTTTCCAGATGAGGCCAAAAGGATGTAAACCACTATGTTTGCCACTGTTTTAGTTGCAGGAGTTGCCTAAAAGATGATGTATTTAAAAATTTGTCTGTCATTAGGCTCCACTCCAGATGTTTGTCAGGTTTTACTCCCTTAGCCTTCAACTCTCCCAAGTATCCATAGAACAGTCAAGTTATTTGCCCATAGCTGACAATTTGTTTCATGAACGTAGATCTACATGACAGTTGGTCAGCTCACTGCATCTATGGGTGCTAAACCACTTCCAAGTTTCTCTAAAGCTTTGAATTGGTGCCATTAGGGGCAAATTTACCTGTGTCATACAAGGTCAGTTGAGGACTTGCTGATGGATAAGCTGTGTACTGACTGGGAGAGACTTACATGTTTGACTTCCTTTTTCACACAGCTGCTAGCTATCAATCTAGGCTGAAAATTAGAAGCAAACAAGCACACAAAACTGGAAAACATGAAAGTTCTCTTCTCCCACACACTAGATGCATCATATTGACTTGATAGACAAAGTCAGCCCACCATATTTGTTCTTATGCACACACATAATGATGAGAGCGGTTGATGGGTGAAGTAAAATTAGCTGCACAAGTAACAAGACCCAATTATCTAAAATTTTCTGGCAACTGAGGCAGTGCCTGAATTCTTAGTTGTGTAATGAATTTTTCTGACACATTAATGCTCATCTCTAAATGAAAAAAACAGCAAAAAATCAAAAGTGAATGAAAAATTAATTTTAAAAAACGGGAAAGTAAATAGGCACAAATAAAAACTCAAACAGCAAAGCAATAAAAGGACAGGCAAAATAAAATGCAATCTCTAAATTATAAGGGAATAGAAGTATCAAAGATTCAAAACAGAAATAAAAGAAAGCTATAAAGTATAACAGATTATGCTGCATTACCTCCATATTTGTTATAAAGCTCTCTGTGTTTTTCTTCAGTGTTGTAACATTTTTTTCAATTATGTAGAAAAGTTTCACTGAATCGTCGTAATCTTTGTCTTTTACCTAGTAACATAAGGAAAGAGCCTTTGTGAAAATGTAAAACTTCTTATTTGTTTCACATTAAGTACTTCCAAACAACTTGGAACATCCAATTAATTAAGTGATTGACCCCAACAGTGCTCCATCACTTACTGCCATCACAGCCACCATTTCATAAATAAATCTTAATCTCGAATGTTTTTATTTTCATGCTGTCCTGCGTGTGAAAGGGCAGTAGTATAATCAAAAATAGAAATACAACTCTGGCACTTCATTTCTCCACGATGTGCCACTGCTATTCTAGCATGGGACAAATGTCTGCCAGAAAGAGGGAGGCTCATTAGCCCATAACAATCAGGAATGCTGTGACATCAAAAGATCCTGGTGTAAGTTTCAAGGCGAACCTTTTAACTCTGCCCTTCTTAGGGCTGAGATCACGTCTTACAACAGATGGTAATGAATAGAATAATTGAAACCAAAATGATCTGCTGGTTTAACTTTGTTTGTGTATGGATTTGGTGTGGAATTTTCTAACTTTCTTCTCTAAATTTCCCTTCCCTAGGAGATTACATGATTTTTGGGGTGTAGAGGGTGTTATCTTGAGATATAAGCAAAGTATTGTGATTAGATGAATCAGGTTGGCTGGACCAAAGTGTTTTTCCTGTTCATCATTTGTATATTTGTAGACCATATGAACACTTTAAACTGGGGAGGTTTTAAATACTGTTGCAAGTTTGTGCTAATCTGGCTAATCTCACAAGGATCAACAATAGAGATGCCATAATTCCTATGCTGATCTGGGACAAAAAAGGGAAATTTTAGATAAGTTTCCAATTTTGCTGCAGTGTTATGAAGTTGTATGATCATTAGATGTTGTCACAATTATGCTTTGCTGCAGTTCCACACCCTCAATGGCAAGAATTGCTTTCTGACATCAAGCTTTCCATCTACCAAACTGATGATAGCCCTTCATTTTCATCTATTCACCATATGCAGGGAAAATATAGGCTTTAACAAATAAACTAGCAGCAAAATACCAAATTAGGTGAGTTACTGCAAGTTGTCGCATGAAGTTTTTCTCAGCTCAATCTTTAAGGTAAACGGGGCAAAATTCCATCCTCTGCGGAGGATGAAGGACAACAACTCAGAAGCAACAACATCACCGCTGTAACATTTACTGGAGAGGGACTAATTGACCTGTTTAGAAATTTATTCACACCAAAGTTAAAATGTATTTTCCTATTATCTATTACTCTTTTACTTGCCTCAAAAATTGATTTTTAACCATAAGACCATAAGACACAGGAGCAGAAATTGGGCCATTGAGTCTGCTCCGCCATTCAATCATGGCTGATAAGTTCCTCAACCCAATTCTCCTGTTTTCTCCCCATAACCCTTGATCCCCTTGATAACAAGAACCTATCTTCTCCATCTTAAATATACTCAATGACCTGGCCTCCATAGACTTCTGTGGCAGTGAATTCCATAGATTCACCACTCTCTGGCTAAAGACGTTTCTCCTTATCTCTGTTCTAAAAGGTCTTCCCTTTACTCTAAGGCTGTGCCCTCGGGCCATAGTCTCTCCTACCAATGGAAACATCTTCCCAACATCCACTCTGTCCAGGCCATTCAGTATTCTGTAAACCCTGCCTAGGAGCAGTTAAGAAGGCTGAAGCCACATACCATAAAACATAGGACATAGAACAGTACAGGCCCTTCGGCCCACGAAGTTGTGCCAAACTTTTACCCGAATCCTAAGGTCTATCTAACCTCCACCCCTACCTTATACTATCATCCACATGCCTATCTAATAGCCGCTTAAATGCCCCTAATGAGGCCGACTCCACTACCCTCTCCGGCAATGCATTCCACGACCCGACCACTGTCTGAGTAAAGAACCTACCTCTGACGTCTCCCCTATATCTGTCTCCACTCACTTTAAAACTATGCCCCCTCATAATAGCTACCTCCACCCTAGGAAAAAGTCTCTGGCTGTCCACTCTATCTATACCTCTGATCATTTTGTACACCTCTATCAAGTCACCTCTCATCCTTCGTCATTCTAAAGAGAAAAGCCCTAGCTCTCTCAACTTTTCCTCGTAAGACCTTCCCTCCATTCCAGGCGACATCCTGATAAATCTCCTCTGCACCTTTTCCAACGCTTCCACATCTTTCTTGTAATGAGGCGACCAGAACTGGACACAATACTCCAGATGTGGCTGAACCAGGGTTTTGTATAGCTGGAGCATAACTTCATGGCTCTTGAACTCAATCCCTCTATTAATGAAAGCTAACACACCATACGCCTTCTTAACAACTCTATCCACCTGGGTGGCAACTTTCAGGGAACTGTGGACATGAACCCCGAGATCCCTCTGCTCCTCCACACTGCCAAGAATCTTTCCGTTAACCCTGTATTCTGCTTTCAAAATTGTCCTTCCAAAATGAATCACCTCACACTTTTCAGGGTTAAACCCCATCTGCCACTTCTCAGCCCAGCTCTGCATCCTATCAATGTCCCTTTGTAACCTAGAACAGCCCTCCGCATTATCCACAACTCGACCCACCTTCGTATCGTTCGCGAACTTACTAATCCGCCCTTCCACTCCTTCATCCAAATCATTTACAAAAATCACAAATAGAAAAGGACCCAGAACAGATCCTTGTGGTACACCACTCGTAACTGAGCACCATGTTGAATATTTTCCATCCACTAACACCCTTTGTCTTCTAAGGGTCAGCCAATTCTGAATCCAATCTGCCACATTTCCCCCTATCCCATGCCTCCTTATCTTCTGCATGAGCCTACCATGGGGAACGTTATCAAATGCCTTACTTAAATCCATGTATACCACATCCACTGCTTTACCTTCATCCACGTGTTTGGTCACCTCTTCAAAGAATTCAACAAGGTTTGTGAGGCATGATCTACCCCTCACAAATCCATGCTATCACAAATTAAACTGTGCCTTTCCAAGTAATTATAAATCCTATCTCTCAGAGCCCTTTCCAATAATTTGCCCACCAATGTCACCAACTTGACGTCTTCCATCACGGTTTAATTTTGACCTATTCTTTTGAGCAGGTGGAAAGGTCCACTACTGAAAGCAATTGCGTCTCACTTCAATTTTGTAGATCAAGTCCCAAAGAAATCAATGGCGCCTGACTGTAATCTTTACACTAGATCTGTGAGGAAAAGCCATTGTGACTCCTCTATTTGTCTGGACCACACAGGGAAATCTATGCTGGTTCCCATCCTCTACTACCCCAGGATTCTCTCTCTATCTCCCAACTGTGTTGACTTCATGACACCCTTAGCTTATTGGCATCCTTAGCTTATTGCCAAAGAAGTTTCTTTAATTCTCCAGTTGGAGCCTGCTTCAATCCAAAATGTGACTGACATTTGTACAGGTAGCATTTCACATTGGGTTCATGGAAAACTGTCAAGCCATAAGAATTTGAGGATGGCAAGTTAGTAAACCTCAATTTTCATTTTATGGAGCACTGAATAGTTTGATCTCTGCCTGGACACTAGTTTAATGGCTCCCATTGGGACTCAATATTAGGTCTTTATTTTCCTGTCTTTCTGTTTTTTTATTATTTGTATTTTTCTTTCATTATCTATCATTATCTTCCTTCTCCACCTTATATTGAAAATATAGATTTTGATGAAATTATCTCTATTTGCCCTTCCAGCAAACTCCCTTTAAATTGTGATGAAAGGTGAGTGATTTATATAGGTAATATTGAATTTTGTAAAGTTTCAACTTTAAACTAAGGGCATAAGGATATTGGTTTATTTTTGTGAAAACATTTAAAAATTAACTGGGTCAGTCTTTCTGGAACCATTATTTTATATTATTTTAATACATTTTAAATTATTTCATATTTCAGATTACAGGTTATTGCAAAACCTCCAGGTGTGTTAATGGAGGTTTTGTTTATACTGTGCAGTGTTATGATAGGAGAGAAAGAGAAAAAAAAATCCATTCACTTTAGCAGAATCTATGATCTTTTTTGTTAAATGTAATCCAAAATTTTTTGGGTTCAGTTCGAAGAAACCTAAGTTCAGATGCAAGTATAGTCTCTCCTAGAAAAAAGGATTGTTCAGAAACTTCCAAACTAACACTGTTTAGCTAGCAACCTGTGTTAGTTATTAAAACATTGGGAAAATCTAAGTTATAGTTATGTGAGGATTCCAGGAAAAAGACTTCACAATTCACAGGACAGAAATTTAGAAGAAGCAGTTAAGTCAGACCTTCAGATTGGTCAGGGAACAAAATTTTCTCTGGATTTTGAGTAACTTTAAAGCTTAGGAGTAGATGGGATTTTGTTTTACCATGTGTTTGAAATCTTTCAAACTGTGTTACTATTAGATGCTTGGTTTGGTTTAGTTTATTTCTATTTTGTGCAATAAACTTCTGTTTTATAGTTAAAACCAAATCTGCAGCCTTGTGTGCTTATGTTTCATATATGGATTTTCAAAAAAATTATCAAGCCAGATTTCATTCTGGGATTTGACAGTGATCATAACCTATTTCTGTATGGCTTTTGTATTCTACATTACAGATTATATGAAGGATTTAATTGCTATGAAGAAGGTATAAAAATGATGTGTGAAGATGATGCTGGAACAAGGAAGGAAGACTCAATTACTTTTTCTCTAGAAAGTCGAAAGCTGCCGTTGACCTGATAGCGATCTTCAAATTGTGGAAGGGTTTGATTGAGTAAACATTGAGAAGTTTGGTCTCCTTGCAACAGACATCAACTAGGGGTCATAAATATAACAGAGTCACTCATAAATTCAAAAGAAAATTGAGGAGGGAATTATTAAATACGGAACTTCCAAGGAGTAGTTGAAATGAATAGCATTGATGCATTTAAGGGAAAACTGAATAAGGACATAATGACAAAAAGAATTAAAATTTTTCCTGATAGAATTTGATGAGAAAGTGGAAGAAAGGAGTCAACCTCCAGATTTAGGCCAGACATGAATGTGTAGCTTGCATTTATAATGAAACTCTCCTAACCTACAGGAAAACTAATGAATATTAAGGTTGATGCTCTACTCCCAAGAAGGACTGTAAAATGAATTTGTCATCACAAGTTAAAATCTGTGAGAGTATGGTGATAGCCCAGGGAGTATAAGCTCTACCCTATAAGAATATCCA